GAGACCGGACGGGACGGGGCTACGAGGCCGGGGAGATCGGACGGGACGGGGCTGGACGGGGCTCCGAGGCCGGGGAGACCGGACGGGACGGGACTGGACAGGGATCCGAGAGCGGGGAGACCGGACGGGACGGGACTGGACAGGGATCCGAGAGCGGGGAGACCGGACGGGACTGGACGGGACTCCGAAACCGGGGAGACCGGGACAGGACCGGGCTCCGAGGTCCGGGACCGGGGACCAGACAGCAGTGTTTAAAATCTCACGGCATCGGACGCCGTTCGGTTTCGTTTGTTGCTCGGCAGCTGTCTCTCAACTTGTCGTTTAGCTCCCAGAGCCTCAGTTTCCCTGTTTCTACCGTTTTCGCTTGCCGTAGTCCTCTCTCCATTTCGTAGTTTTAAGCACCGGGTGTCCTGACAGGCGCGTGTCTGGAGCCAGGCTCCCCGGATTCAGATTTTACTGGTGCTGCTTCCCGCGTGGCCCTTTAGTGAGTTGTCTTGCCTTAATTTCCTCGTCTGCAATGGGAAATCATAGTGGAGGTCGCATCTCAGGGATGTTATGACTATTAGAGAAGGCCTAGGCGTCACGTTTGTATGTTGACATGGCGTTCAGTAAACGTCAGACTTCATTAAATCGTTTTTTTTTTCTTTTCTTTTTTTCTTTTTCTCGAGACAGGTACTCTTTGTAGCCCTGGCTGTCCTGGACCTCACTGCATAGCCTAGGCTCAAACTCAAAGAGATCTGCCTGCTTCTGCTTCCCAAGTGCTGGGATTAAAGGTGTGATCCACTACTTCTGGCTGATTCTTTTTTCTTTAAAACACCAATTGCTCCCCCCACGGAAAAGGCTTTGTCCTCTAGAGAGACTGAGGCACAAAGAGGGAAAATTTCGAAGTTCCACAGCCAACCAAGTATCCCAGCTTTGTAGCTCAGAATTGTGGATCTTTCACTTTTACACTTCTGCGATTTTCTCCTTAGTGGTTGTGTTGTGCCCTTGTTGAGAGACCCCCAAACAAGACCACCACAGAGCCAGTATCCAATGCAAGTACAAAGGGGTTTATTGATAGTAAGCAAGCCCGGGCTTGGTCCACGTCCAACACACTGGCTAGCCAGGTGAAGGAGGACGGCCCTGAGCTCTCAGAGTGAAGGGTTTTTAAAGGGAAAAACCGCAAGCTAGGGGGTACAGCCTCTGCATTTCAGGGCCATACTTCAGTTAACAGGAACATTTAGCTAAGAGAAGAACTACAGAAGATAAAATACAGTTGGAGACTCTCCCAGTACTATTGGAGACTTTGATGGATTAAGCCTTTGTTTTAGCTATTTCTTGTCCAGCGGCCTACCCACCCTGGGGCAGGGGTGGGTGTGGGGTGGGTTGGGGTGTCTGCCTTGACCGGAGTCTTAGCTGGGTGTTTATGTCTCTGGAACTTGGTTCAGCTTTTATCTTAGTATTGCTAAAAATGAAGTTTCCTTTAAAATGGAGTTTGTCTTGCTCTCTCATTTGATAGGTGCCAGGAGACTAGGGAAACTCAACAGTAAACAAGCCAGTACTCTTCTACCGTGGAGTTATAAAGTAGTGTTCATATTTTCTGTCTCACCTTCTTTTATAAGTTTTATCAGACGCAGATGGTGGCTACCATCATTGACAGGTCTCCAGTTTCTAGGAGAGTCCTGAACGAGGTTGACATTCAGGAGAGACTCCTGGAGTTATCGGAGCTTTTGTTACCACATCACAGTAGTGGAAACTGAGACAGAGAAGCTAATGGAACCTTGAGGTTTCACAGCTAATGAGGAGGGAGCTGAGATTTGAACCCATCGTTCTGGGAAAAAGATGAGTCTGTAAGATGACATGCTACTTAGCCTCCTGCTTGTCAGGAAGAAGCTGTCAGACTGGAGGAGGCTTCCCTTCTGGCTTCTTGATTCGTTTGTTTTTTTGTAGCAATGAATTCGGGTCCTAAGGTGTCTTGAGAAAGGAGGAGCACGCTTTGACACTTGCAGATGTACCCTGGGCTGGTCTCAGGCCCTAGTCCTGCAGGGTGTGAACAGGGCAAGCTTCTGGTTAAGATGTCATTGCCACCGTATTCCTACACCTGTTCCAGAGTAAGTAGATTTAGAAGGAAAATCTGGCTCCACCTGTGCAGGTGACGCCTGCCTTCATAAAGACCAGCTCCCTGTGCAGGTGACGCCTGCCTTCATAAAGACCGGCTCCCCTGTGCACGTGACACCCGCCTTCATAAAGAACGCACTCACTAACCACGTGTGTTCCTTACAGGAATAGCAGCTCCGGTTGTCTTCTTCGTGGACTATGCTTCTAACTGCTTGTATATGGAAGAAATCGAAGACTCGGTGACTGTTCGCGATTATATTCAGTCCACTATGGAGATTGAGAAAGACCCCCAGTGCCTCATGGGCTTGGCCAGGAGAATCGGGCAGGTTCTGGCTCGAATGCACGATGAAGACCTCATTCACGGGGACCTCACCACCTCCAACATGCTCCTGAAACGGCCCCTGGAGCAGCTGCACATTGTGCTCATCGACTTCGGGCTGAGTTTTGTTTCGGGACTGCCGGAAGATAAAGGCGTCGACCTCTATGTCCTAGAGAAGGCCTTCCTCAGCACCCACCCCCACACCGAGACTGTGTTTGAAGCCTTTCTGAAGAGCTATGGTGCGTCCTCCAAGAAGTCCAGTCCAGTGCTGAAGAAGTTAGATGAGGTGCGCCTGAGAGGGAGAAAGCGGTCCATGGTCGGGTAGCTGTAATGACTGGTTCACAGGGAGAGCGCTGTGGACGAGGCTAGACCACAGGCTGTGGGTCTCACAGGGAGAACGCTGTGGACGAGGCTGGACCACAGGCTGTGGGTCTCACAGGGAGAACGCTGTGGACGAGGCTGGACCGCAGGCTGTGGGTCTCAACAGGGAGAACGCTGTGGACGAGGCTGGACGACAGGCTGTGCAGTCTCCCAGGGAGAATGCTGTGGACGAGGCTGGACCACAGGCTGTGGGTCTCACAGGGAGAACGCTGTGGACGAGGCTGGACCTCAGGCTGTGGGGTGTGTTAAGTGGCCTGTGCCACCGTCACCTGTGGTTCACTGTTCTCAGGAGCTTAGTGTACATAAGGCCTGTTCTAGGCAGAACTGGGTGAGTAGCCCAGGCTGGCCTTAAATTCATGGCAGTCCTCCTACCTCAGCTTGATGGGATTGGAGATTATAAGTCACCATGCCTGGCTTTCCACTGGTTCTGTAAGAAATGAAACATCAGCTATGACTATATTTTTATGTCTTTCATATTTATTTTGTGTGTATACACGTGTATGTGGAGGTCAGAGAACGATTTTTGGGAGTCAGGTCTTTGGATCTCCAGTATGGATTCTGGAGATTGAATTCAGCTAATCAAACTTGGCTCCAAAATCCTGTCCCCATCTCACTGGCTTACTAAACAGTTTTTGTATCAGTGGGCCGGATGGGGATGGGATGGGGTGGTGGCAGGTGCTGGGGTACATATCCTCTTGTTTGCCAGAGCAGCAAGCAAGTGTTCTTAACTGCTGAGCCATCTCTCCAGCCTCCTAAAGAAATATATATATTTTAAATATTTTTTTTTACATGTGTGTATGTCTCTGGGTATATGTGTAGGCCAAAGAGGGTGCACGAACCCTTGGAGCCCGAGTTAAAAAATCTGGTGTGAGCTGTCCTATATGGGTGCTGAGACCCAAACTCTGATCCTGTGGAAAAGCAGCACACACTCTGAATCACTGAGTCTTCTATCCACCCTGTTTATAAACATTTTAGCCAATTCCAGTATCCCTATTTTCCTCAGTGGAAAATTACAGGATTACACACAGTTGAGGTCTACAAAAATGTAGCTCGTGGGTTTTTCCCCCCCAGAGTATCATGAAGTGGGAAAACCAACAAAAGAACATCTTCATAGATGACAGTTTATTAAGAGTGGGGGCGAGGTGGATGACACCCCAGTTCTAAGGAATCTGAGAAGTAGGAAACAGTTCTTGCTCTCAGCCCTTTTAGGCTGATAGGATAAAAAGCCAGGATAACTGCTTTCATGAAGGACAGGAGCCAGTTCTGTGTGGGGCGTTGGGGAGGGAATCAGGCGGCCAGCAAAGCTCACTGCAGACTCAGTGGCAGAGATGAACTCCCTGCCCACCTTCTGGAGGATAACTTAGAGCAGAGAGGATGTGCAGCTCCAGTCTTGGTACTTTGGAGCAGAGTCTGGTGCCGATAATCGGTTCCATTCGGGGCGTTGGTGGAGACAGTCGGGGTTTGGTACTCACACAAGGTGAGCAGCTGCTTGGAGATGGGCTGGGGAGGCCAATGCTGCTTAGGACAGTGTTCATCTGAAGATAGAATCTGAGTCCAGAGTGCCCTTCCGAAAGAAGCCAGCTTCTGTGTCCCCTGTCTAGGTAACTGCTTACACCCATGTCATTTTCTTTTTGTTTTTGAGACAGGGTTTCTCTGTAACAGCTCTGGCTGTCCTGGAACTCAACTCTGTAGACCAGGCTGGCCTTGAACTCACAGAAATCTGCCTGCCTCTGCCTCCCCAATGCTAGGATTAAAGGCGTGTGCTCATTTTCTTAAGAAACTGTCCTCCCTTCCTATTCTTCACTGTGCAGGGGCAGCTCCTGCAACCCTGGAGAGGCCCTGCCAAGACAGACAAACAAAAACCACATCACGACATACCTGGCTTCTGTGATGTGTGAAACACCCACACTGAACATGTCCTTAGTGCAAACGGCACACACACACACACACACACAGTTACAGCACAGCTGAAGTGGATGGTGGGGTGGCCGGACGGGATGAGTCAGTGACAGATGGAAAGATGGATGATGAAAACAGATGAATGTGCTCTGATATTTTGTTTGTGACCTAACAACTAAGGCTTTCCTGAAGATCGGAGTGCAGAACTAAGCCACTAGTTAGCCATAGAGGCCAAGCAGTGGTGGCACACACTTTTAATTCTAGCACTTGGGAGCAGAGGCAGATGGATCTCTGTGTGAGTTCAAGGCTAGCCTGGACTACACAATTTATCCAAGCCGGACGTTGGTGGCGCACACCTTTAATCATAACGCTCAAGAGGCAGAGGCAGGCAGGTCTCTAAGTTTGAGGCCAGCCTGGTCTACAGAGTGAGTTCCAGGTCAGGCTCCAAAGCTATAAAGAAACCTTGTCTCAAAAAACAAAACAAACAAACAAACAAACAAAATCCAGTCTTAAAAACAGCCAGGCAATGGTAGCACAAACCTTTGATCCAAGCACTTGGGATCTCACGCCTTTAATCCCAGCACTAGGGAGATGGAGACAGGAAGTGATATGGCTGGGCAGAGAGAGGAATATAAGGTGGGAGGAGACAAGGGCTCAGGGCCCCTTTCAGCCGAGGATTTTGTAGAGGTAAGAACTAGTGGCTGGCTGCTCTTCTCTGATTTTTCAGCATTTACCCCAATATCCGGCTCCAGGTTTTTATTAAGACCAATCAAGATTCGTGCTATAGACATACTCTTACTTTGAAGAAAATCCTCAAGTTCTACCCCAGTAATGCTTCTGTTTTGAGCCGGCTCTGAACTCGGGTAGGCGTGGAGGGGTATGTTTGTACATTAAAATATGGTGCTAGTTAGATGTCTCGACCATAAAGAGGAAGCACTGCTCTTGCAGAAAACCTTAGTTCCTGGCTCCCACATTGAGTAGCTCACAACCCCCTCTCCCCCAACTCCAGCGGATCCAACACTGGCACCTTCACTCACATGTGTCTGTACCAATACACAGGCACACAAATACACATAGTTTGAAAATCTTTTTCAAAAGATTGGTGGTGTTCAAGATGGTTTTTCTGTTGTCCTGAAACTCACTCTGTAGACTAGGCTGGCCTCGAACTCGCAGAGATCTGTCTACCTCTGCCTTCTGAGTGCTAGGATTAAAGGTGTGCACCACCACCACTGCCTGGCTTAAAATATTTAAAAAAAAAAAAAAATGCCTCGAAAAAAAACCAAAACAGTGGGGAAGGCAGCTAAGCAAAGATGCAGGAACAGACGCCCAAGAAGGCAGGCTGTCGAGCCTGGCAGGAGAAGAAGGAGTCTGTGTGTGCTGGGGGTGGGGGGTGGGGGGGCACGGGCAGACAAGCTCCTGGAAAATCAGACACACCCAGATCCCAGACCTCCGGACTGGCTGCCTTGCTATGTGGAGACCTTACTCAGGAAAGCAGAGGGTAAGGGGAATTCCACTGGGGGGCAACTGCTACTGATCAACTCCAAGAGGAAGAAAACAATAAAAAGGTGCTGGATTCTGTCTCTTAAGCAAGCTGAGATACTCCTCAGAGTCAGCCTAGCTTCCCAAAATGCCAGAGACCCAGGTGCAGGACGTTTCTTATTCAAACCGTAACCCATATTAACAAAATGTACTTGTTTGTCTGGAACTCAGGTTTATATATTTAGTCGTCTCAGGAGGAGAGAGGGGCAAAAACTATGAATTACTTCTCTGGTTAACAGCTTTAACTATCTAACAAGCAGGTTAAAGTAAGGAAGGGTTCATTTAGCTTAGAGGTGGAGAGGATGCAGTTCATGGTGGGAAGGCACAGTAGCGAGCTCTAGGCTTTTGTAGATGGAAGCGGAGAGAGAGAGTGGCGTTCAGCTTGCTTCCTCCTTTGCATATAATCGGGATGGTACCACCAACATTTGGGTGGTCTTCTCAGTTAACCTTCCTAGAAATGTCCTCATACTCAGGGATGTGTCTTGTAGGTGATTTCAAATCTAGTCAAGTTGGCAGTGAACGTTGACGATCAGGGACAAAGAACAAGGGAGAGATGGACAAACAGCCATGTGATCACAGATAGCATGTAGCAGGAAAAGAGCCAGGGACAACTGACCTGGACTGGGAGAGAAGGGAGGAGAGGGGAGGAGAGTGGTCTGTCCAGGCCTGAATCAAGGAAAACAGCCACAGTGCTCCCTAGTCCAGCAAGAGCAAAGAGGCCGTTGTCTCCACACAGTCAAGTCCCACCTGGCACTGGAGGAAGGAAAGTGTTCAAATAAAAACTGTTGCTGGAGGGCCAGTGAGATGGCTTCAGCAGATAAAGAGGCCTGCTGCCAAGCCTGATGACCCGAGTCACCAGGACAGCCAGGGCTGTTACACAGAAAAACTCTGTCTAGGGGGGGAGAGGGAAAACCAAAACAAAAAAACTACCTCCGTTCTGTTTCCATCCCCTCTGGGAATTCACCCTCCCGAGAGAAGTGCTCACAATGCCTCGGAGTTCTACTTCACGGGAGCCATAAGGTGATAAACGCCTCACTTTTTTGTTCTCATTTATTTATTTATGTTGGGTCAGTGTCTTGCCCTGTAGCCCAGGGTGGTCTCCAACTTGTCCCAGTCCTCCTGCCTCAGCCTCCCAGAGTGCCATAGTTATAGGTTTTGTTTTAGTTAGTCTTTTTAGTTATTTATTTTGAGACAGGATCTCTCTATGTGGCCTTGGCTGTTCTGAAACTCACTGTGCGGATCAGGCTGATCTCAAACGCACAGAGATTTGCCTGCCTCAGCCTCCTGAGTGCTAGGATTAAAGGTGTGCACCAGATACCCAGTTATTATTACTATTAATTTTTTTCTTTTGTTTTTCAAGACAGCATTTCTCTGTATAGTCTTGGCTGTCCCGGAACTCACTCTGTAGTTCCTGGCCTCAGACTCACAGATATCTCTCTGCCTCTGCCTCTGCCTCTGCCTCTGCCTCTGCCTCTGCCTCCTGAGTGCTGGGATTAAAGGTATGCGCCACCACTGCCCAGCTATTACTATTAATTTTTAATTTGACCAAGTTGCCCAAGCTAGCCTTGAACTCACTTTCCTTCTGCCTGGTCTCTGAGTAGCTGGCATCACAGATGTGCACCACCACCCCAGCCTTGATGCATAATTTTTTTTAAAGAATTTATTTATTTATTATGTATACAGAAGAGGGCACCAGATCTCATTACAGATGGTTGTGAGCCACCATGTGGGTGCTGGGAATTGAACTCAGGACCTCTGGAAGAGCAGTTGGTGCTCTTAACCTCTGAGCCATCTCTCCAGCCCCCTTGATGCATAATTTTAAACCATTAGTTATTCAGACCATTTGTCTTACAGCAATAGATAATTTACAGGAACTAGATACCATCTTTTCAAATTGCAAGTAAGAAAGTCGTCAGGGTAATGTGGAAGCAGGTGATGAGGGAGGGGCTTCAGACGGATAGGAGAGGCCTCCTGTTGGTGACACTGAACTGAGAACAGAATGGCAGGAAGGGGCCAATGGC